CCAAAAGGGATAGTGTTCCCCCCCTCCCAAGCCACCCCCTTGTTCCCCCCCCCCCCCCAATATTAAGTTGAGCTGGAGAAGTTGTCAAACGTAAATGCTTAAATTATCTTGTGTTAATCATAACTTATTGATGATGTTGTTAAAAGGGCGGTGCAAATTCAAAAACAGCATTTAAAAAAATGATCACGAAACTTAAAACAAAACAAAACAAAACAAAACTAATAAAAAAAAATCTGAGAATAACACACTAACCCAGAATCTCCGTGGATTAAATCCAGAATCGAGTTGGCTCCAGAATCACATCCACTTTAAAATGTTCCAAAGAGATGCGCCTGGCGGAGGTGCACCGGCTCCGGGAAGCGATAGATCCAGCGGGAAGACAAAACACAACGCGGCCGGGGTCCCTGCACGAGCTCCGCGCTGATGTTTTCATCAGCGTCGCTCTGCTCGGAGGCAGATGTTGACTGATTCTTTATACCCAATTGAGTCGCCTTGACTTCCTCGCGTTTCAGGTGGCGGATTCCTCTGAATGACATGTCGAGCTCTTCGCACGCAACTCGCTGCCTCGCAAAAACCGGCGCGAGCGCACACACCACCACACGAGCGCACACACACACACAGAACAGGAGCGTATGCTGCTTTCAAGTGCTGTGCGTAACGTGGGAATTGGTCGTTTTGTTGTGGTTTGAAGATTATCGAGACTGTGGTTCCCACACTGAGCATCCAGCTTGCGAGGGGGAGTTGGGGTCGGTGTGTGGGGGGTTAGGGGGGGTCTTATGAAGTCTGTGGCTCCCATCTCCTCCATGTCGAGTACTGGGGGTGGGGGGGACGTCAGTGTCTCCTCACCCCTGCCATTGCACATTCATATGGAGAAATCTTATAAACACACAAGCTTGTATTAATTAGTCCCTCGTGCTTTTCATTGACATCGTTGTTGTTACATATGTTGTTTGTGCTGTGGTTTCTTGATTCTTGATTTTTTTTTTCTGCAAGTGTAGAAGCAAATTTCTAGGGTGAATTATTATGCACTATTTTCACTCTATTCTTTTCTTCCACTTTTCCTTTTAACTCTTTACTTCACCTGTCATCCTTCCTTTTTTCTCTCTCTTTTTCAGTCTTTTCTGTCACAGTTTGCATTGCATTTGAAATGACCATATAGCATTTTGTAATACAGCTATATGAGCTATTATTGTTGTTGTTTATTTATTTAAAAAGGGACAATTCACATCACATAGCATGCNCGACGAGCAGGGGAATCCCTCCCGCCAGTTGCCTTGCAGGGAGACCGGCAGTCTGATGCATTGCATTTGAAATGACCATATAGCATTTTGTAATACAGCTATATGAGCTATTATTGTTGTTGTTTATTTATTTAAAAAGGGACAATTCACATCACATAGCATGCTAGAGGTACCCATAAAGGCCAGTTGTCATTTTAACGCTACTATATCAAATTTTATCAAAGCTGTGCATACCTTGTTGCTAGAGGCATACCAATTAGAAATACAAATAAACCATTTTTTGTTTGTTTCTTTTCCTGTAAATATCACCAAGTTTAACATGCAAAGCAGACATTTTGGATTTTGAGGTGAAGATTGGGAATTTTCCTCTTTTAAGCTGAAATATGTGAATAAAAATTAAATGCATAATTATACTTTGTTTGACACCAGTTATGCAGTGTCAGTAGAAACCTATGTTTTTATTATTATTATTATTATTATTATTATTATTATTATTATTATTATTTTCAGTGGAAAGTATAACGTACTGTCCCACTGTAAATTTTGTTTTAAATGTCTTTCTAGATGCTTGTGCTTACATAAGTAATTTACAAGGGCGGTTCTTGCTCTAAAAGTTTGATAAGTATTGCATTTGGATTTTTTTTTTTTTTTTTTTTTTTTTTTTTTTTTGTTAATCGTTTTCATAAGAAAAAGAGGAAAAAAACTGGATGTGTTGAACTGGATTCCAATCCCTACCATGTTTTATTTCGAAAGAAAAACTCGGCTAAATTTCTGCATTATGTTTGTGTGAATCCCCGTTTAGTATTTGTGGTGATATATCAGTTTTTATCTTTTCGAGGAGCACGTGAAAGCAGCATATGCTTAAAACGGCTTGCGCGAACTGCCGCGTGCGCATACACACACAACGAGAGGGGCGGGACCTCGCGCTCACTACAGCGGCTGTCGCCACTTTCAAACTGGACAGTCGAGACTGCCGACGCGAAACTCCGGTGGAGAACCGGAGACTCGTGTCTGGGAAACAGCGGCTTCACATCCAGGCACGAGCCTTTTTTCTTTTTTTTTCTAATGGACTAACGGGGAAGTCTTTGAACCAACTTAGATGTAGTTTCCAGCAACCGGATGGTTCAGCGGGAAAAGCGTGACAGTTGCGTCAAACGTGAAAGAAATCCTTTTGTTTACCCTGGAATCCTCTTCAAAACAAACACATAGTGCCTCTGTAAAGTCGCGAGATTAAAGTTTGGCGCCTGCGTGGGTTGTTTACATGAAAGTATCATTAGGAGTGACTTGGGACTTACGAAACTGCACTGGGTGTACCTATTTTTACATTTATCACTGGAAGAGCTGCGGTTATCTTCAGTCACCTGACTCGGATGCCCCATTTCTGTTTCCGTAGCCTACTATTTAAATCTAATAATTTGGTCAGATACTCTCCCAAAACACCAGCCTCAACTTCCAAGGGTGGAGGCTCTGACGTCACAGGGGCTCCGGAGAGAGCCACTCCTTTTGTCGCCACACAGAAACAAACATCCACCAAAAGAAGCTCGTTCTGCACAAGAAACAAACAAAAATAACTACACTGCATTACAACTACATTACAAAAGAAAACACTAATACGACCCTAATAGATACAATTTAAAACATCCATAATCGATATAGAAACAGTCAGTTTATATAATGTGATTTACATGCTTGTTTTTAATGCCTAGAAAGAATCTGAAAATTATTTGTTTGTGGCTTTATAAGTAGAGTAAAAGTCTTAAAATCTTTCTTACAGTCCCTACATCGCGCATACCACAAGGGGGCGTCCATTTTCTTTGACAAAACATTTAAACAAAGAGAAGAAAACGTACCGCGTTCAACTTGGAGAACATATCCGAATGTGGCCATACGCACTGTAAAGTTTTTCCTTTTGTGGTTGATAATGAACTTTTGGAAAGGAAAAAAAAAACGACTTTTGAAGAAACCGCTAGCGTTAAAATTTTCTTGTTAGCACGAAGTATTTGTTTCCATGTGGTAATATGTTGTGTTTGCTCCGTGGAAATTATAAACATGATTCTTTAAGTGAATAGGCAAAATAGATTTTAAAAGATTAAAAAAAAAATAAAACAAAGAGGCTTTCAAAAATCCTATCTCAAGAGATTAAATTGTCTCGATAACAAAATTGTCCTGTTGTCATGAGATAACCTCGGCTCTCTTATGACAAAATGCTAATTTCTAACGAAGGGGAAGCCACAAAAAAACCTGAAAATATAATAACATTAATTCATAAGTTGGCTCATGTTGTCCCCTGCTTGCGCTCTCTTGGGTGAAAAGACATTTTACTCTAGATAAGGTAAAAAAAATAAAATATAATAAAAAAAAAGATATTTTTTACAACTGAGCTGTAGCTGCTACATTACAAAACATTTTATCTGCTCTATTTTCTACTACCAATATTGTGAAAAAGTAATTTATTTTTCTTTTCTGTTTAGCTTTAATTTGGACTCATGTATAATTAAAATAATGTTAACGTAACTGAATAAAATCAGCCGATTGAAACTCTTGGTATTGTCAGTGAGAGACGTGCAACCAAAGATGTAAACGCCATCTTTCCAGCCTTAAGGTTAGAATTTATGAATATCTTCTCTACCGCCCACAAGTATAACGCACAATGGCACAAAGCTAATGTGAAGTGGCCCTTTCAAATCCACAGGGATATGCATAACAGGCCTTTTCTTGGTCATCTTTAGGTAAAGGTGTTGACGTACGCCCTCTTCTTTATGCCTTTTATCTTCTCTTGACTCGAGTTTCTATAACGGCCCCTTAGATGGGGAAGAGAGGAAAAGAAAAAAGATTCAGACGGGAATGGTTTGAATAATTTTTGATACCTGTCAGGCATATAGGCAGGTATAGAGGGATGTAATGCGGCTCAAGGAGTTTGACGTCAGCTGTTTTTATTAGCTCTAAAAAATTTTGCGTTGTGATTGTTTTGCTGAAACTTTGATCTGCAGGCTAATAAAGCCTGCTGACAGCATGTAGCTGTCACTGCCCATTTCGACAGCAATAAAGTTGAGTAAAATAGCTATAATCACCTCTGGTCCTTATTAATAATGCATGTAGTATGGGGGGGAGGAGAGGAGAAAAAATAATGGTGGTGAAGTTACTATGAGAGCAAACGAATCCATGTGTTCCCAGTCTACTCTTCTGACAGGCCTGACATTGTAATCATTAGCATGAAGCAGTCAGGTTGCGCTAGTGACAGCGCACGTGGCACTTTACCAGGGGAGATGTTTTATTTGTTGTGACAGGTGAAGCTGTGGATCCATAGAGGCCTTGTTAAGACTGTCAGTTGCTGCCATTAAAGCTACAGGGAGCTTTGGTATCGTTGCAAATCCACAGCCAACATTATCCAAGCTGCCTTCCAGATTAGCCCGGGCTTAAACTTCCGATAACCCTACCGGGGCTGACCTTTGCACGCAACCCTGAATGCGTCTCCATACAGCGTGCCTTTTTTTGTGTGTGGTTGAACACGCGTTTAGGAACAAGGAGCTCGGAGACGAACCGGGGTGGACCTGCTGAAAGCCCCCGCTTGCCAAATGCAATAGTGTGGCTTTCATTGATTAAGACGTTTCCATTAGTGTCGCAGTGTGATTCCGTGGAGACATGCGGGGGGCCGTGACACGACCGGTCTGATCGTGATGGACGTTCATAATTGATGGGAGGGTCAGGATCGGAAAGTAGTCACACACATACACACACACACGCACACACACATGCACCCGCTGATCCCCTGTCACTGTCATTTAGAGCAAACTCTTTCTTATTAAGGACCACATGACTGCTCAAATGGAAGTAAAGCTATCTGCAAAACAAAGGACACAATGCGCAGTGTGTTCCGTTTGAAATGGCTCAAGCTCAGTCAGATTGGATGGAGAGTATGTGTCAACATCAATTTTCACTGTCTTGCCGCAGATTCCCAATTGGATTTGCATCTTAGGACTTTGACTGGGCCATTCTAATGCATCAACTTGCTTTGGTCTAATCTAGTGATGTCTGAACGTTTTGCCATATGGGTCAAAATCTTCAACTGAAAAGTACTTTGGGGGCCAAAAAAGAAAGTTTGTATGTTCTTAATTATAAACCAAAAACATGTTTAGATATTTTTTTTACCTGCTCAACAATGAATATAGAACTTCTTCCACATATTTGCTGTTTACCTTATAGGGACAATATTATATATTTTCCAGGTATGTAGTGGCATTATATGTACAATCAAGTAATTTTGTTACCTATATACATATTGTATATGATGTAAAAGAAATTTGACTTTGTAATTTAACGCCTTAAAATTGGGACACTCTCTTTCTGAAACTCCACCTTCAGGCA